CCGTGCAATACTTTCATCACTTTTTCCCCTTTGGGCTGGTTTTTTCTTGCAGGGTGATATCCTGGAGCTCGGGGTGATTTCCCGATGGGGCGGGCGACTATCCACCCGGGGTTTTTTGTCCTGTGAAGAATCGCCCCATGATTTGCCCCCGTGTTCGTTTTTTGCGTTTTATGACCATTCCCCACCCCTCCTGTTGGGCTGCAGGAGAGAGGTTTGTAAGTTACTGTTGCGCCAGGATGGGTTTGGGGTTGATGGAATCTGAGATGGAGGATATTAAATGTGTGTTTCTTAAATGCGGGAGGTTTTGCGCGAAGAGTGCTGTGAAGTGGTGGGCAGCTGGGAAAAGTATATGATCGGTTGGGTAGTGTATGGGGGTGTGGAGTTGAGGGGAATGTGTAAACTATTTTGAGGGCTTTGATGTTGGTTCGAGAAACCTAGGAACTATTGGTGTAGGGGGTTTTTGTGTAAGGCTGCTTGCATACAGGATCTGTTGTACCAGCTGAGGGATTGTTCCCCATGTTCGCATGAGAAGAGTATTTGGTATAGGTTTAGCAAGTGAAGTTAAGCCTAGGGTACGGGAGGGGTCACGTTATCGTCTTTTTTGCATGGCATACTACCGTCGGGGGAGGGTTTTAAAGGACCAGAGGGTGGTAATTGTGGGCGCGGAAGGTGTGGAATCTATGGGGAGGATGAGACGGCGTTTCATGCAGTATACTTATGTGAGGGTGACTGGAGGGTGTTAGGTATGGTTAAGTAGGGTAGTACAGGGGGTGGGGAGGCGAGGGAGTTGTCGGTTCTGCGTGCCACTAAGCTTAGATGTGGGAGGGTCGATGGTGTGTTATAAGTAGCTTTGGATTATATAATTGTGGATTATATATATATATATATAGTGGGTGATGAGGGCGGGTGGGGCGAATTGTGAGGTGGCGGAGGCGGGTACTTGCGGTAACGGTTTATCGTACGATGTGTCGTAATAGGATCTGTATGGGAGGAACGGTGGTAGAGGAGAAGGAGGTTTCGGAAGGGTAATAGAATGTTTACGTCTAGGGTTTCTCTCAATATCTACGACTTGGGTGAGTGAGTTAGGGGGGTAGGGTTTGGGGATTACATACGAGGAAGGGGGTTGTTGTTTTTTTTTAGGTTGGACCCAGCGGGGTCGCCTCTCTGGGGGGGGAGGGGTGATAGTAAGGTTGTATGTGGTGTATATGATGGGGTAGATGAGTGGCCTACGTGTATGTAGCATGCACCCAAGTGGGCACAGGAAAAGAAAAAAAAGGTTGATATCAAGTAATTACGTTAGTACCGAATGGAGACTTCTGTGTTTGATGTGTCAGGGTCGTCATGAGCCTTATGTAATTAAGTGTGATTGGTGTCAAGAATATAGTTTTAAGACCGTGAAGGCTTTAGTGGCTTATGTAGAGTGTGCGTTTATAGCCTTTATTGGGCATATTTATGTGCTGATAATTGTATTCGCATTGAGAGGTTATTTTTAAATTATGTTTGTTTAGTTGTTGAGGGTTTTTAGCGAGTGTACTGTCTTTATCCTTTACGCATTATATAATGTGTTCATCCAGGTTGACTGCGAGTGGAATGCTAATGACATTCATAATGTAATGCTCGTTAATAAGTTTGTAATGGGACAGTATGGCTTTTGTCTCAGAATTTTTATATATGTGGCCCCCCCAGGCGTTGGAAGAGGCATTTGTAGTAATTATTTAGTAATATTTGTTAATATTAATTTAGTATAAGGGGTTGGGATAATTTTTGGGTAGAGCATGTATTTGTTTAACTGGAGATTGTGATGTAGGTTATTAATCTGATTATCCCCTGTGAAGGTTGTGAACCTTTGTAATATGTCAGTCATACTATGTAACTATTACAATCTGAAAGTTGTATATAGTTTAAATTTTATTATGTTTATATAGTTATAGTTTATATTTTATCTTGTATGTTATAGAAAAATTTTGTGAGTGTATATGGAGTAACCTCTTTTATGTCACATTACAATGTGTGTTATAATGGGTTAGTGTATGTTCTGTAGGATTGAGGACCCTACTGTCCCATTTTTATATCTTTATTTAATTTCAAGCTGTAAAGTGTGTTAAATAAAATAAAAAAAAAAAAAATGTTACGTCGGCGTGCACCCCCCCCCCCCCTCTGGCGGCTGGGGGAGGATACCAGTTCCTGGTGTCCGATTTGTTAAGTTTTACTCCTGGTAATATTGACCTTACCTGGTGTGGGTTGAAGTAGTTTGGAGAGTCTCTTCACCTCCACTATTCTCCTATTCGGTAGGGTGATCTACCAGGAGTATTACAGTTTGTTCTTTTCTCTTGTTTGCTGGTTTCCAGTAATGATTTTCTTTTGCATTTATTCTTTTCCCTTCTTTAATGTTATATTATCATGACTATGGGTAAACCATTTTATTTATTCTTATTACCAGCTATGTTCCTGGCGTGGTTCATCCAGGATAGGACGCAGATAAAGGAGCAAAAGACATTTGTTTAATGGCGATATCTTAACATTATTGGACTACTACTGGCCTACCTATTCTACTTGTAGTGCTCCATCCAAGTGGTAGGAGATTCCAAAACATCCGGTTATCACCATCCGCCCTGGATAACTTACATCAATAAATATCAGATGATCTATATCCAGGGGCATACTACTCCTGCCCAACTCATAGAACTGAAGGCCATTTTTTTTTTTTATATTTATATTTTTAAGTAAAATCCTCAAAAATCATTATTCTTATTTTTCCTAGTCATTGCTTTTTTATTTTTCCATTAGTTTCATGTGTTAGATGGAAAAGGCGTTCCACTGACATCAGAGACGACGCTCCCTAATTTATATTTCTGTAGATTTATATTTTCTTTGCTGAACGCTGTTAAAAACAAGCAGAAATGAAGCCTCGGAATTAAAAATAAAAGTAATAAAATATGGAAAAATGTGGGACCTCGGAAAAATAAAAAAAAAGCTTAAAAAAATTTGGAAAATAGACCTTCTCTACCTGCTGTATTTACTCAGTCACCTCCGTGATTAGCTCGACAAACTTGTCCCCAGTCAGGGTTGTGTAGAACATCAAGCCGGGACCTAGAATGGGTCGAGGATCCAATCCTCCAACAGCGTTCATCGTGTTCGTCATCGTGGTCGGCGTTTTCCTCGGCTTGTATTCCTGATGGTCCTCTCCTGGCTGCTGCGGAGTTGGTTCAATGGGCCTTGACAGCGTCGATGGGGTAATGGTCTAATCTGTAAAAGAAAGGGAGTGGGCGGTGGCGGACTGGACCTGCAAAGTGAGAGGTAAGGTGAATCGGACAGGAGGGGTAGAGGGTGTGGGTTGGGGGTGAGAAGGAGGAACGAAGGAGTGTTTGTGAGGAATGGAGGTCAAGGACTAGGAGGACTGTGGTGGGGAGCCAGGCCTTGAGAAATCTGCCTGGATCCAAAGGTATTGGAAGGGGGGGATAGGGTAGAAGGTGTATGGGGGAAAAGGCTAAGGAAGTTGGTGGACTGTCGTGTTGATGGGGATGTTTCTATCTGCTGAGTTTGTTGTTTACAGGGGGATTCACACTGTGGTGGGAGGGGGCTGCAGCTGTGGTGTTCTTGGCCGAGGATGCTCCACCGGTGGAGAGGTGTGTAAGTCTATGAAGGCGAAGTCGAAGTGCTCTGGTCTGGGCTCTCTGGAAGTTTTTCGGCCGGTGTGCGGCCTTACTGGTTCTTCAGCCCAATTTTGGATGGGAAATGCCTCATGGCAGCCTTTCGGTTTCGCACCGAAACCGCAGGCGTTGTTGGTGCTGTAGTGCAAGGGGGTTTCCATTCTCAGTGGTCTATTCCTGGGGACATATGTGTAAGGTTGGACGGACTGCAGGAGGACGTTTTGCATCCTGCTCAAATATATGAGTGGGAGAGGAAACTGGATCACATCATGTGTAGAATGGTGTCTCTCAAGCGACTGTCGGAAGGTTGGTCCACACGGTGCTTGCGCTCGACCAAGGGAGCTTTTCAGTGCACCTGACGGACTTAGGGGGCGGGAAGCGGATGATCAGGCGATTACCCATCTCGTTGGGGTTGGATACGTCCGTCCTCTGGCCGGTGGGGGATGTCCATGGCATGCGTCTTATTTCTAGGGAATCTCAACGGCAAACACCCATCAATCTCCCCTGGCAGATGGTGTATGGTCAGCAGCAGCATTTACCATGCTCTGCTTGCCGAAGGGGTATGACGGCGTCTTCGGCCCCGCAGTTCGTCTGGTCGATTGGGGACTTCGGTACAGTATCAGTACTGCCTTCTCTGGAGATAGGAGCCAATTCTGCAAAAGAGAACATAAAATTCAATTGAGTTGTCCTTCGCTGTCGGTGGAAGCTCACTGCTTGGGCCAGCGCTGTCAGTGGAAGCCTCTTATGCTTGGGCCAGCGATGTCAGTGAAAGCCTCACTGCTTGGGTCTCCTCCCCACTGTCCTCTGGTCCTCGCCATCACCACTGGTCAAGGGGGGGACCTCGTTGAAGGTAACCGTCTCAGGTCGCCGTCCTCGTCCTTCACAACTGGTCAGGGCCTCGTTGCAAGGAACCGTCCTCAGGTCGCATTCCTCGTCAAATCACACTGGTCAGGGCTCGTTGCAGGTAAACGTCCTTAGGCGCCGTCCTGTCCTATACCACTGGCAGGTCCTTGTTGCTGGAACCGTCCTATAGGGCGCCGTATCGTCCATCACCAATGGTCAGGGCCTCGTTGCAGGAACCGTCCTCAGGTCGCCATCTCGTCCATACCACTGGTCGGGGGCCTCTTTGCAGGAAACCGTCCTCAGATCGCCGCCCTCTCTATCTGAATCCAGGAAGTTCGTGGTCATCTTCAGATATCGTTGACACCCACCCAACTCCAATAACTGGTCAGTGTTTTTTAACTTCTCGTAAGGTAGTGTATTCTGTTGTAGCTTCTTAATAAGCTGATAAGAACAGATACTACACTTTGATCTTATGCCCAAAAGGCCGAGAAGCGATTGAAAAAAAAAAGCAAGTGGACCAATCCCGGAGTACTGCAATACCGGGCCATCCGCGGAAAGGTGGAGCAAAGCCCTAGCACTTCGCCATGATCCAAAAATCTGTTTATTATCGGAAGATCACACATGGGGACTTCGTTATCAGATATTAAGCTGATAAGAACAAGATTACTATATTTGTTCTTTGCCAACAGGCCGAGAAGAAAGAAATGCGATGTTATTTCCTCCCGCGGCTAAAGCATAGAGACTAGCGATCTGATCCACCTGCTGTTTATTGCCAGCAATCCGGCAGTATACATAGTTACCCAAATCTTGGTTATCGAGCATTTTTTACATAAACGGTCCTTTAACGCTATTGTTACGCGTCGCCTAAATAAAATAAGTACACCTTTCCTTTCAATTTAAATTGTTTATATACATTATAAGTGATATGATCAAGTACAAAATCACAGGGTTGTAAAGGAAGATTCAAAGAGTACAGACGACTCTACGGCACAAATTCATCAGTATGTTGTACTTTGATTATCGGTTTGTGATTTTTATTGTTTAATATAGCTGAGATATACTCGTCAATGTCCAGCCAAACCAATGTTTAGTCTGGCATTATTAGTTAGTTTTTCTTCCGGTTGTTGTAGCACAAAGTGCTTCCTGTTGCAAAGAAATGTATTCGGAATATCTTTTCGGACGTTGTTTTCTTGGTGTTTAGTTGTCTTCCCAACTATCTTTAAGAAGTAGTTTCTTATTCACTATTTTGATGGTGTTTAGTAATCTTCGTTGTCTACTTCCTCGTAAATTTTTTAAAGTTTATATGTGCGGGTTGTAGAAATAGAAAATTTTTTCTTCTCTTCATGTTTACTAATGATGACATATTCATTGTACGCAATTTATACGGATTTCTTAAGCTGTGGGAACAGAGTTTACCTTGTCTATGTGCTTGTCATATTTTATCTTCATGTTCATTTTTTTTTATTAATCGGACCCGAAGGGAGAATAGACATTTTTTAAAGACGACGTTTCGTTCGGTATTTAGTTTTTTCAAGTCGGATTATATGACCTAAAAAAGTTTGATTCGCCAAGATCATGAAGTGTCATTTGCACCTTTGTGTTTGTTTTTTAATTTAATGGTGTTTTATAATGCTTATGCTGTGTCTTTTACAAACGTTTTGCTCAGTTCTTAATGTAAACGCTTTTGAAGTATTCAGCACCCATATATCCGAAGACGTATTTGAAAGTCTTTACAATTAAAGCTCTCGAGTTTCTCACTGTTGTATTTATGCAGCATTTTGTAACATTTTTCACTCGTGTAAAATGCTGATGGAATTTTACGTGTGTGTTACCTGGACACTCGTTTTAAAACTCTGTAATTAAAATATACACTCTTGGACTAGAATATTGAAACACAGGTGAAAGAGGTCTGTAATTTCTCGGTGTCGGAGCCCTTTTAGTCTGCTGAATGGGTCTCTGAGGTCGAAATCATACATATGGTCCTTCTTAACTGTGTCTTAGCTTTATCTCCATCATTCTGTCATCATTCAGTGTTATGACAATATTGCCAAGAGTTACACACGCTCAACTCACTACTAGGATCACTTGTTATTACTTTCCCTGGGTCATATATCCTCACCATGATACACCACTTGGGTGCCGTGTCCTGGCCCTGGTTAACACTAGATATATGTCCTGGTCTTAGTACACTATATAGGTGCGTATATCCTGGCCTGGTATCACCACATAATTAAAACATTCCAAATCTTAAATCAGTGAACAGTAGCCAGGTGAATAATTTCTAGCCCAGGTGACTTTAATTTTTTTATTGGAAGCAATTATTAATAAACACACATTCTTCGCTCATTTTTTGTTGTCCTGTCTCATTACCCTGAGGCAAGAACATTAAAACAGTATAAGATATTATCACCTACAAATTAACCAGCTATCTATAGGCGCATTAATCCTGAGAAAATGTGCACACAACCAGGAGTTAATAGGAGGGTATACTGTGATATTGATGATTTTGCAATTTCTAATGGAATGGAAGACCAATTCAGGTAAAGCTGGTGGATGCTGAACCAGTGTCAGGTTCATCATTTGACATTGGCTGGTGTCAGGAGACGTCTCTATCCTGTTCCCTGACGATCTTTAAACCACCGGACCACCCAGGAGGTGATCTGCCGAACTTGTACCGGAGAGATTTGGCCATTCTCGTTGGAATCCTAAGGAGTGTAGTATTACAGCGCTGTCGGTTATGCTGCAGCTTATTTTGAGTCTGATTGGGGGTCTACATTTAACCATTCATAAGCGATGTTAATGGCAACTTGACGGCCAGGGATCTTTGAGTTGCTCGTGTTTAAAATGACAATTTGGATGCACACAAACTATCACATCTCCGAACCCTCCTTCCACCAGAGTTTCGCCAAAAACGTCTTCTTTTTACATTCTCTTTTATTACTTGCGACCCACAGAAAAGGGTTATGTAATATCTTGATGTATATTATGTTCTTATTAGGATATTTACAATCGGACTATCAACTAATTTAATGTACTATATTACCGGTCAGCACGGCACCGGCTTGTTCATTGCCGAAGCTTGCGATATACAGATAAACCTGCGTGCGTTGAAAGGATTCGTTTGACCATTTATTATTATTATATTCAAGGGGGGAGGGGAGGAGGGATGCGCTAAACCGGAGGATTATACTGCGCCTGGGGGGGGGGATGAGGAAGGCATTCCAGGCTTAATTCGGGGTATATGAGAACTGATTCCAATTCCTTATGATAGAGCCCATCTCAACAAATTCAAGGAACAGCTTGAGGGAATTGTTTTGTATGGTTTGTCTGGTGGTCGTCGGGGTTTTCTAAAAACCGTGGTGTCTATCCGGGTCCGATGTCTACGGGGTCGTCGTTTAGGGTGGGGTGAGGTGGGCGGTAGGGTGGTTTGGGTGGGTTTGGTTGTGGGGGGGTAGGGGGGGGGTGTTTTTGGGGTGGGGGGAGGGGGGTAGGGTGAGACGGGGGGGGTGTGGTGGGGGTGGGTATGTCTGGGGTTGGTATGTCGGGGTGCGGCTGGGGTGAGTGTAGAACTGAAGGGGGGGGGGGGGTGGATATAGGGGAATGGAAAAGGGGATGTAGAGTGAGAAAGAAATAAGAGGAATGAAAAATGATAGGAAGGAAAGAAAAATAAGAAGAGGGAAAGGAGAAGAACAGAAAATAAGCAAGAGGGGAAGAGAGACTAGGCAAAGAAAAATAAGATAGAGGGCACAGAGAGATAGGAAACGGAGATTAGAAAGGGGGAAAGCGGAGAAGGACAGAAACTAAGAAGAGGGAAAGTCGAGAAGGCAGAAACTACGAAGCGGGCAACGAGCGAAGGAAAGCAAATAATAAGAGGGAAAGAGAGAAGGAAAGAAAATCGAAGAGGGAAAGCGCGCGGAAAGGAAAATAACCGACAGGGAAGGGGAAAGATAATTTAGGTGTTTTTATTTGTATGGTGGAAAGGAAATGGAGAAGATGAGGTAGAATAAGATGATCGATAAGAATGGGGATAGATGAGGTATAAATAAAGGATATAAATAAATAAGATATAAATCTAAGATATAAATATGAGATATAAATTAACAGAGAATTTAATATGAGATAGAAATAAAAGATATTAATAGGAAGTATAAAATAGAGATATCAAATAAAGGATATTTTAGAATAAAAGCATATAAATAACGGATCCATTAATAAATGATATATGACTAAAGGTTAATAAAATTAGAGGGATCTTAATAAAAAGATATAATAAAGGATATTAATATAAGATATAAATAAAGACTATGTAAATAAGAGATATAAATAAAGGATAATGGTAAAGGATATAATTTAAAGGATATAAACTTTTAATCAAAAGATATAAATAAAGATATAATATAAAGGAATATCAAGTAAAGCTATCAAATAAAGGCTATTAATAAAAGATATAAATAGGATATAATAAGAGGTATACCTAAAAGATATTAATCAAAGATATAAATAAAAAGATATAATTAAAGCATATAAATACGAGATTAAAATAAGTGATATTGATTTGAGGTAGAATAAAGATATTTAACTAGACGATATAATAAGGAGATATAGATAAAGGATATTAATAAAAGAATATAAAAATAGGATATAATCGAGGCATATTAATAAAAGATATAAATCACAGATATTAATAAGCTATAAATAAAAGGATATAGGTAAAGGAATATAAATAACGGGATATAATAAAAGATATAAATAAAGGATATGAATCAAGGCTATAAATAAAAGATATAAATAAAGGATAATAATAAAGGAGAATAAATAAAGTGATATTAATAAAAGCATAGATAAATTAAAGCTATTAAATGAAAGATATAGATAAAGGATATTAATAAAAGAATATTTGATTTAAAGATATAAATAAAAAGATATAAATATGGAGATATAAATAAAGGAGATATGAATAAAAGGTATGAATGAAGGATAATACTAAAAGATTTAAAACAAAGATATAAATAAGGGGATATGATAAAAGATATAAATAAGGATTATAAAATAACAGGATATTAATAAAAGATATAAATAAAGATATAAATAACATATAAATAACAGATATAAATAAGGATATTTACTTAAAAGATATAATACAGGATATATTTTAGTCAAAGATATAAATAAAAGATATTAATCCCAAGCTTTAAAATAACGGAGCTAAAGGACGGCATATTATCAAAGATATAAATAAAGGGATATCAAACACATGCATATGGATCAAAAGATCTAACATAAAAGTAGAAATCAAGGATATCAATAAAAGATATAAATAAGAGAATATTAACCACTCTACAGCTAGAAATAAATGACTATTATTAACCGATATAAATAACGATATTAAATAAAGACGATCAATCCCTGCTCTTTAATAACAGTCATAGACAGTATATACCTACCACGCTATACGATACACAGGATATAAACTCTACTAAATCCCCACCCCCTCACACTCACCATTCACATCACCATTTACACCCCACCCCTCACACCCACCCTCACACTCACCCATCACACTCACCCTCTCACAACGACTCCTATTCCAACCACTCATGCCCAACACTCACACTCACCCCTCACGCACACCCCTCACGCCAACCCTCACACTCAACCCTCATACCAACCTCAACACCCACCCCTCACACCCACCCTCACAC